CGTTGACAGCACCCAATCAATTTTTCATATTAGGTTACACTGCATATTTCTGCAAAACAACAAAACACGTGATGCCCGATAAGATTGTTGCTTCGGACATCTATCAGCTCCTGATACCTAGTGTATACTTAGCCTTTTTTGGTTTGTATTACCGGCGCAAATACGTAAGTAAATCGGTGAGACGGGTCATAAATAGAAATTGCCCTAACCAAAGTCGGTCAATTAACTCATGCATTGGTATAGGTGCAAGAAGATGATACGATATTTGTTGACAATGCATGTTTCTAGCTTTATGGAGGAATCCAACTCCCGGAGTGTGAGCCAAATTTTAACCTTACATGGCTCTATAACTCGTGATGCATGTATTTACATAATGTGGCAAAAGGAAAGTTGACAAAAAATTTTTTTGGATTTTTTTTTGATTTTGTACCACATGTTTCAACTTCCATTCATAGAAATAAGAGCGCATGCTTTTGCTTCTATCTAACAACCTCAATTTCAGGGAAGAGATGAAGAAAAGCATACTATTTCGCTTTATTGGTGACTTTGCTCCCTTATAACGAGTTTTTTTCGGTCATTATATTAAAAAATCGATAAAATGGAAGATTTTTTAGTATCATACACTCCAACCTCCACCATTAATATCGTTACTGCCTTATATAAGCGAGTAGAGACGAATAAATGGACTGGCGACAAAGAAAAAGAAATAAAAAATTTCGTGAAGGTACTTGAAAATGCATTGGATATTGTATCTATTGATGATGAAGAAAGGTTAAGAGTCCTTCATGAATTTGGAACTGGGAATACTTTGAAAAGTCGTGTAAGTACTCTTATAAGATGTTAATTATTTTTAAAGTAAATATGATTATTCTGTGGTTTTCCTACGACCTTAGGTGTTGAAGCAAATAATGGTATATAGTAGTGAAGAAGTTGCGCCTCCATAGCATCTGTTGCTATGGGCTCGTTAACAGTAACTATTTATATACAACAAACATTATATGTGGAAACACTGAGGTCTTATATTTTTCGGCCGAACAATATTGTCATAGAAAACCATCTGATCTGCGCAGATACTCTTATTTTATTTTTGCTCTCGTATACGTATATGTAATTAATAAAATCTATCGGTTTTTAGGTATTGCACCAAAAAGAGTAAACACGGCAAGTGTTTTGAAGATCTTTGGGTGTGAAATTCTAAGAACCTGCCAAAAAAAGAATTCAAATTACAAAAAAAAAAGTTGTAATACTATTTACTAAGTACAAAACTATTCTAGATAAGAAAAACACATAAGCAAACTTATAAATATATTAAATAAATAAATTTTCTATAGATATTAATATTAACTGTAAATAATAACTTGTCAATCCAATCATAATATTTATAATTACTCTTCCAACCCAATTCCATATCTGATAGATTGTCGGGACTGTTGATAGGTTTTACTAGGGATGGCAAATGATTTAAATCACAATGTTTTAAATCAATAAAATATTGCTTTAAAATGATTTTTTTTACGATTTAAATCATCATCACTGATATTGACATCATGATTAATAATACTAATTTGGCTACGTGATTAATCATATTAATATGTATAATTATTACAGTTAAACTAACTAGTCAGATGCAGTAATTCTAGCTGCAGCCATCAGCACTATAATCACCAATGATTTAAAACATTTTATTAAATCAAGTTAAAAATCAAAAAAATCATTAAAAATCGATTTTTTGCCATCTCTAGGTTTTATCACAAAATCCCGAAAGGACCCAATACCGACAAAGTTAGCCGGCATTAGTTATAATGCTGGCCAATTTAGTCGGGTATTATGTTCTTTCAGAAAAATGGGTTTAGATTTTACCCTCTTGTGTGTGATGTGATTTCTCCACTGATAAATATAGTGATGAATGATTGTCGTGGCTGATGCTGATGCTGAAATTTAGGGTCCTAATTTAAATATAATACCTATTAAATAAAATTCACATATACTTTTTTACTAACAACTCTACCCTTAAACCCTAACCTAACATTAAAAAAAAACCCCTAACGAAAAATTTTTAAAATTTCATAATAAAATAAGTCAAAATTTCAGCATTAGCCAATTTCAGCATCAACCGTGACAATAATTAATTATTATTAATCCAAGAGGTCCCATCACTAGCTATTCAGGGATGGCTAATGACTTAGTCATTTACTCAAAATTTAAATGACCAGGTCATTTAAGTAGCTAATGTAAAAAGTTATCAAATACTGTGATTTCACTAATCGATGATCATAGTTACACGCAAAGTTTTTACTAGGTTAATTGATATTTACATCTTCAGTAAAGTTGTTCAGGAGAAAAATCAAGGTCAATTAAAATATTGATTAACTTAGTAAAATTTGATTTTTATATATAGCTATAATTATCGATAATTTTACTTTTTGTCTAATAATCAATTTTGAATGTGAAATGACCCAATGTCATTTTGGTCATTTAATAATCGGGGTTTCATAATACCAGGCGTATAGCCACACGCCCTAGTTCGGATTCTTTCCGAATTTTGTTTATATCAGAAACCTTCAGAAATTATGTAATCTTGACTTCGCACAAATAAATAACTATTGGTATTACTGTATACATTAGTGGTGCGTGCGTCTGGTGCAGTCCGGTCCCGGTCCCTAAAAAGTCTGGGTCCGAGCTAGTTAAGGAACTAGTTCACTCCCTGTTAAAAAAAATCAAAAACCGGTCCTACTCTAATGACTCTAATGGTTTAGTGTATTGTGTTTTAGTAATTACATAGATTGTATTAAATTAAAATAAATTAGCCAATTAGATAACCTTGAGATCACAAGATTATAGGACTAGTTTTTGGACCAGTACTGAACTAGTCCCTAAAAAGTTCGGTCTGGACCAGGTACCGTATCCAATGGACCACTATTATACATATATATATACTGTGTGTATTATATACAATGGCATAGGTAAATTTTAAATAAGAAATGTGTGTCTTAGCCAATCAAAATTTCAGTTGATAAAAATAAATAAATTTCAACCGAGTACGTATTAACACGCTTTGTTGTCTTAACAACATATTACATTAAATATTTAGACGTGACAGTACACTTTCAAAAATCTTTTAGTTTTGCATTTTTTTTTCTCGTACCTGTCACTATGTTACCAATAGATAGGCTTCGCCACCCAAAAATTCAACAGTTCATACGATATTCTAAAAATATAATATGTCTCAAACAAAAAATGAAGAAGCCCCTCGAATTTAGATGATAAAGACCAAGACAAATTTCCAAGGGATCAACAATACCTTACTATTCGAAAGCAGGCTTTGGTAAAGCTTAGAAAAGCTCTTAATGAAACGTTGGATATATTTGGGGACATTAAAAATAAAGATAGTTATGTAGCTGTGTCTTTTGAACACTTACAATCTTCCTTTAAGGAAGCAATTGAAAAGCTACAAGATCATTTCTCTAATTATGAAAGTTCAGTAGCTGCGTTTGAAGAAGTTGGTGAATCAAGTTCTAGGCCTAAAAACAAAAAAAGAAAGGGCCCCTTCAAAAAGACTACACGGGGTAAATATAAAAATACTCTATCGAATTTGTTTATAATATCGAAATTACTCATCATTTTAATATAATAAACTATTAGCCACCACTGAAATAAGCTCTTCAACTCAGTCAATTGATGAAAAAATCATAGAAAATGGTAACTATAAAAATATATGGAAACGAATAATAGAACAAGCAAATTTTTTTTTGATTTTAAATTTTAACAAAGATAACAGGGTATTGTGCAAATAATGAGTCATGGGAAGCCTTGGATATTTGGGTGACAGAGTTCTCACTTTTTGTCTCTAAAAATCGCCGGACCACGATACCTTCGAGAGTATAAAGCACAAGATGTTAAAAAAGGCATACAGTACATTGTCACCAATAAAATTTTGGTATTTCTATGTTTAAATAAATATATTTATTAATTTATGTTTTAGGTGCTTGATTGTCTTGAAAAGTCCAATAATCTTCCCAAACAAAAAAAATGGCTTCGAAGTATTGAATCGAACCTTAAACCTATTCAGAAAATGGTAGATGACATTAAAGATTTCGAACGAGCAAAAAAGCCTCCAAAAACTTGGAGTGGACGTAACAAAATCACCTTTTATTGGTAGTATTAAATTCAAATTTAAAGCTTTATACGTGTAATAAACAAAATTTAAAGCTTTATACGTG